TCCAGGGCCAGAGGACCCTACGTGGTCTAGGTAAGCCTGCGCTGCTTTGGAATCCGGGTGAGGGTATATCTTAGAAGGTGCACCCGGCCCTGTGTTAGTAACCTGGATTCCTCCCGGCTGGCTTTTATACCCTCATGCATGAGAAGAGGTCTCTGCAAAGGCATTCACTTGTCTTTGCCACGCAGGACAATCCCAGAACAACCTCCAAAATGGAGGCTGTGAGTGACGTGTATGCAAGAACACAATTAAATTGGGGTATATCTCCCATTGTTCAAACATGTGAGGTGAAAGCTTAAATATCTGCATGCACACAATGACCCTGGAGTATGCAACGCCCACATTGAGAGTCCAAAGGATGTGAATGCGATGGCGCCTGAGTTTAGGATCCCCTCACTCACTGCCATTGAGTCGGATACGACCCATAGTAACCCCTCCTTGGGTTTTAAAGCAGCGTCACTACGTCGTGCAAGCAAGGCCAAGCTCGGACTCCCTCTGCCTGTTGTTCATTCTTAAAGAAAAATGAAGGTCGCAGGCAGTGGAGGGGGATATCGGATTCGTACAGAGGGAAGAAAGTGCGTGGACCTCTGGCTTCTTTCTCCAATTCTTCCTCCAGAGCCCCCTATGCCCCCCTCCCGCCCCCGCGTATTTGCCAACACAGAGTCTGTTAGAGGTCTGCCTCCATTAGGGTGCTGGGCGGGGTCATATCCCGGAGCAGGTTAAAGCACAGATTGGTTAAAACCAGACAGACTAAAGCTCAAGTCTAAAACGCCCCCAGAAAAATCTCTGGTTGCAGACTATGCTGCCTGCCTCTCCTCCTGCCCACTACCGCATAAAGGTCCTCTCGGGACCCCAAAATTTACCCCCCGCAGCGGCGCCTGTACGCCCAGGAGATGGAACGGAACCCGAAAACACCTTCCAGATGCATTGGTTTCTGGTTCCTCCAAGGTTGGGTCAACCGGCAAGACCGGACCCGGAAGTCTGAGTGCTGGTACATATAGTCCACCTTTGGATTCCACCAACACCATACTCCAGACCCTGGGTTCGAGTACAGGCCACAAGAAAGATCCCAGAGAGACTAGGCTCCGTTTATAGTTCCCTCTGAGGAGTGGAGGGGGATTTGTGTCCACCTGAGTGGAGGCAACTTCTCCCACTAAGCACACACAAATCCTGGGTCTGTGTGGGTGTGTCTGTGTCGGGGTTGGAGGTGGGGTGATCTTGTTGGGAGTGCCCCAGCATCCTAGCTAGCATCCCTTGGAGGCAAGACCTCCTTCTTATGGGCCACAGGATGGGCAGGTTTGGCCTCTGGGTGAACAGGGGCAGTGGCAGCTACAGGCAACCTGCAATTCCCAACATTGAGGTCCCAGCCCACTCTTGGCTGAGGCAGACAAAACGGAGGGGAAATCGGCCCCCGCTTTCGGTGGTTTGGCCTGTGGAACGTGATACAAGGAAACTTTTCCACTGAGACTCCTGCCGCACCCACCCGCACAGGCAGTATGGGTTCTTCCCTTTGATTTGCAGTTTAGAAGAGAGTCGCGAACTTTATTGTGTAGTTCTACCCACTAAGTACTGAATGAGCCAAAGAACTGGCTCCTTGCCTCTCGTCTCTGTGTACACGTGTGTCTGTGTCTGTGTGCTATCTGTCTGGGTGTCTGGCAGAGGTTTATCTTGGGTATGGTAGGTATAGCGTGTGCCCTGGGCACGACTTGAGGGGGTGCCAATTAGCAGTTTCTACTCTTTATCTAGTTTCCAACTCCAGCTGTGAGAGATCATTCGGCAATTTTAAACTAATTGCCATAGGCACTATTTTCCCTAGATACGCCTCTGGTGCCTCAGTGTCTATGTGGGTGTGGGTGGTATACGAACACGATTATGGCGGGTGGGTGTGCGCGCGCTTTCTCCCAGTGGGTATCGGTTTCTAGCTCTTGCATCTCCACTCTCTTGAGACGCGCTGTGGTCGCCATGGTTCTGCGTGCGGCGCGCGGGCCTTGCTCCGAGGACTCCAAGCCGAGATGATTCTTCGAGTCCAGGCAGAGTCTTGCTCTGGGTAGAATTATCACTGCTTTTAGGAAACCGCTACCCTATGGCGCAAGAGGCAGGAACCTCGGCTCTGTTCTGCATGCACCGAGCGCGCACAGGCCTCCTCTCGTCAGTTCTGCAGACCTCTGCTGGTATGGCTTTCGCAGACCTTCTGCGTTCGGCCTCCTGTTTATGAGAAATCTCGGTCTTAATTAAGTTCAAGACTTTCTGGCTTCCCCAGCCGCCTAGCGCCGAGTGCCGCCCGGTTGATTCCTGGACCCAGGACCAAGCAAGCATCCTGGGATTAGGGACGGCGCCGGGAATGCAGCTTTTCTTCTCCGCCAACCCTGCTTGCCCAGAGAGGCGCCTGCGTCCTGCAGCTGCTCCTCTTCCAAGTTAGCTTCAAACTTCTCCCGGGCTTTTGATACGCTGTATCTGATGGAATTATGGAGAAACTCCAACGCCCCGCTAGAGTTTCACCGAGTGAAATGGTCAGGCACCGAGGGGGGTGGGGTGGGAGAAGAAACCCTCAAGGAGCATCAGGCCCCCAAGTGTCCGTTACCCCGCTGAGTTCCCCTGCTCCACCTCACCCCCTACCCACGCGCGCCCTAGCCTGGAGGAGTCTAGCCCAGCCAAAACCCAACTTGACCAGAACCGAGATCATATAATTACAGTGACTGAGCGATTGTTTCCTTCAGATCCAATGTCCCTCCCTCCATAAAGGAGGAAGAAAGCAGCAGAGGTTGGGTGGGTGGGGAGTGTCGGAGGTTAGAGGCACCAGACATCTCCTCGGCCTCCCAGGTACCAGGATGACTGCGGTTGCCAGAAAGCGCCCACCCCTCTGGAGTCCTCCACCCTAGCTGGGGTTCTGGTTAACGCCAGACTGATTCAAGTACCTCGAAATTTGACGTTCTTGGGAAGTTCTGGTTCCAGATTTTCAATATTTGGGAAGTGGGAGGAAATTAATGTCAGTAATGATGGCAAAATTGGGGGAGGGTTATGGGGGAAAATCCCGCAGTTTGGGTAGTACAGCCTGCAGGGGGCGTAGGGATGTATCCTGCGGCAGGTAGGGGGAGGCTGTCATCTCAGTGAAGCACTTTAGAGGCAACCGCTGGCTCAAGTTCCCATCTAACTTTAGCTTAGGGTCCCTAGTGAAGCACTCTACCTTTCTTTTCCTCTTCCATCCTCCCTGGTGGCTTGCTCCCTTCTACCTCCCCACTGTTTGTGCACTTTCCTCCAGGTGTTCAATTTGGTTTCTGGGCTTGGGCAGTTGGGCACGCCACAATCGTTTTGCATTCCTTGGATGGACTCTAGTGCTTACGCAGGCATGTGGTTGTGCCTCACCAAAGGTTGAATCTCGGGCTTCCACTCTACCACCTGAGCCCAGGAAGTCCAGAACAGAGGCTCCCTGAACTCGCTTTCTGGGTGGAATTGGGGGCAAATTAAAGAGAGATCTGGGAGGCTTCTCACTGGGGCCTGGGCTCAATATCCCTGCAGGAGCACAGATTCTCTGCTGTGCTCTCATGAAGAACAGGCTCCAGGGCAGGAGAGTGGGTTTGTGTGAGGAGGCCTTGCCCTCCCCCTGAGCTTAACGGCAAACAGACTAGGGTGTTTAGGGCTTGTCAGGGACAAGGATTTGTTTTTAAATTTCCCAAAAGAGGTTTTCCCATTCATAGTTTCCAGGGAAGGGAAGCTGGGTAAGGATGGTAGGGCAAGTCTTGAAGAGAACTCTCACTCTTTCATCTTTTCAGAAAACTTGGAATGGCCAGTCCTAGTAGCAACAATGAAGTCAAAATATGTTTACTGTTTTCCAGCTGTGGTGGGATGGGGAAGCTGCCTCTCACTAAGTTTAAGAGAAGAAAGCTCAGTGTGCTCTGTTGCAGAGGAAGACTGAACAGGGGTGCAAGTTTCTAAACTCATCACTGGCCACATATGGGGCAGGAGGTCTAGGTTCTGGTTTGGGCTCGGCTTTGGTGTCACCTTGAGCAAATCCCTTCCCCACAGTGCATTGTTTTGACATCTTTAAGGTCAGGGCCTTGGCTGTCTCTAAGACCGGGGCTTCCAGTCCCAGCCACTGTGGAGCATTTGTCCCTTCCTCTGCGCCACTACATATCTGCTTCGTCCTGTATATGCTAACCCTTCCCCAAGCAAGAGGAGGATAGCGCTTGGAGAGAGCGTCTTAGCTCCATGCCCAGCCCTGATTGGCCACCCAGTAAATATGACTTTGGCTGAATAGACTATGCCTGGCACTTCCGCCTTGTCCACTTTAACTCAGCAAACTCTCAGCCGCGGAAAACGGGACGCACACACTCCTCGTGTCCAGACTCCAGGTGAGAAAGCCATTTTCGAGACCGGCCTAACATACTCTGTGGCCAGCTCAACTCCCAGATCACACTCAGGGGCGCGGAGCGTGCATTTGGTGGCAGGTGGCACTGGCTAGGAGACCTCTGCACTAAACGCAACCGCCAAACAACAAGGAGGTGCAGCAAGATGGCCCTGAATTTGCACCTTTTACTCACAAACTCCGGCAGCCCCGCCCTCTTCCCACTCCAGCTGCTGCATTCTCCAGTGCCCGGGTCCTTAAGGACTATGTCGCCCCAACAAGCCAAGCGGCCTTTACAAACCATAGTAAACGTTTTATTTACAAATTCGAGGCGTCCTCAGTGCGTGTCTTTGCGCCACGACCCCTGGTGGGGGAGGGGAGGAACGATTCAGTCAAACACTTCACAGTGTGAGCTGCTTGTTTCTAGGGAGAAGCGGTGCGGCCTGAGTTGGGGCCTTTGACTGGGTTACTGAGGCCCTCATCCGCTCTGTGCAGTGTGAGCTGCGACCAGTTAAGCAGCGGAGGGGCGATGGGTGAACATAAAGAAGGAAGCTCTGCCTCTGCGTCCCCAGCCCTGACCTGGCCACCGGCACAAAGTAGGCACAAGATCTGCGGACCCGCGGCTGTCCGCAGGACATGCGCCCCTCCGCTCTCACCCAGTCTATAGGCCGCCTAGCGGCGCTGAGGCCGGCTCAGGGCTTTGGGGAGCATTGCTGAGGGTGGGCTGAGGCGCGGAGGGCAGCTCCGAGAGGCTGCCGCTGCTGCCAAGGCTGCTGGCGCTACTCGCGCTGGTGCTGCTACTACTGAGGCTGCTGTTGAAACTAAAACTGCTGCCGCTGCCGCTGCTTCCGCCGCTGCTTGTGGTGACGAGGACGCCGGTGGCCGAGGCCTTGATAACGGTTGTTTGATGCAGAGATCGCTCAGCGCCCTCAGTTCGCTCGGTGTCGCTGGGGGCCATGTCCAGGGACTCGGAGTCGCTGCTCTCGCTCTCAGCCTCACCCTCCGAACGGCTGGGGCTCCTCTCGTCCTGCTCTCCGTCGAAAGCCGAGGTTCCACCTGATGGCTTTTCAGCTGCCTCTTTGTCCTTGTCTTTCTGGGCCTGGGCCTCCTTGGAATGCCGCCACTTCATCCGCCGGTTCTGGAACCACACCTTCACCTGCGCCGCACCGCGGGGAGAGATGAGGAGGTGAGAGGCAGGTTCGCTCCTGTCCACGAGCCGCTCCCTAACTCGGGAAAGCACAGCTAAGCGTCCCCAGCGCCCTGACCTAGGGTCAGGCACGAGCTGCCCAGGGGCCCAGAAGTAACTGAGAGGGACACCAAGAAAGCCAGAAATCCTTGCCTCCCGAACTCTCTACCGCCTTTGCTGAAAAGGTGGCTCCCAGACCTTGTGCCTGAAATGGCCTGTTTGGTATTGGCAAGGCAGATTCCTGAACCCCAACCCCAGCTAGGGAGATCCCTACTGTAAATCAGGTACTTCTTTACTTGAGTCAGGACTCCGCCCCAATCTAATGAAAGTGTGGACCTTTGCTCCTCCCTACCAAATGCACATATATCCAAGATTTTGCAGTTTCAAACATTTGGTAAATCACTGTTAAGAATTCCTGCTCTAAATTGGCCTACTACTGCTCTATTATCGTTACCGAAAGCAAGTCTCTAAAAAGCAATTCTTTCAAAGAACAAACCAAGGGAAGTAGTAAAGGAGAAATAATTCATCCCAGTGTGGTGGGGGCATCATTGGGCCTTCATTAAAAGAACATTTCCTTGGAATATTTTGGAGGGGCTAAGGACCCCATCCCTACCAGGATAAACTAATACTTCCAGGGGCTTAGAAAACACTGGAATTAAATATGTACGAAGTGGAGGAAGGGATGAGGCAGGGAATCTATATAAATATATATGATCCCCTAGGGGACGCAATGCGGTCACACAAGTTCCAGCTTCCCTTTTAAAAATAACATCCACAGCTGGTGGAAAACGGCTGGGCTCTTCTTCCCGTGCGTGTTGGGGAGGGGTGTTGTGTAATGGAGGATGGAAAGACATAGAGACAGAAGGCCCAGGCCCAGGGAGCTAAGAAAAAGCCACTGGTTTTGAGCTGCTGCTCTGCTCCGATGAGTTCTGCATAGGAGAGTAAGCCCAGAAAGAGAGAGGACCACTGCTCTGAGATATGAAATGACCACCACTCTTCTGCTTTGAAAGCTTTAAAAAAAAAACAAAAAACCCAGTTCTTGAATTTGAGAAAAAGGAAAAAAAAAATGAATTCAGGCAAAATAGATTTCCTATTGCCTTCAAACAAATAATAATAATCAAGTAAGCAGAGCCTGCTAAAATGCTCTTGAACATTCTAAGAAAATCTTTTATTATTATTTTTTTTCTTTCCTTTGTCTCCCTCATCTCCTTCCCCAACCGGAGTCTTTCTTCACAGCATACACTACTAGAAAATCATCGCACTCAGTGTGGCTGCTCCAATCTGGCTACTTTCCACACTGGGGCTAAGTAATTCCGTTTGAAATGATGTTTTCACTTCCTCACAACTAGGGATTTCACAATCTAGCAGTCAGAGAAGGAGGCACGGAGGGCAGGAGACAGAGACAGAGACAAAGGGAGAGAGAGAAAAGAACAATCTCTTGACTTTTTAAAAAAATCTCTTCCATAATAAACTGCCTCCTACGGTGAATTGCACTAGTTGAGTACATAATTATTATCTCCAGCGGCCTATTTGTTTTCTCAGCAGTTCTTTAGCCTGTTAGCCAAAATAAACAAGCAGTGCTTGTTGACATCTTTGGTAATGTGCTATCCTTTTCCCCCATCCTCCTTTCTCCTTCTGCCTCAAATGGTGAAGACCACAAAGCCTTGAAAATGCTAGACCTTGTGTTTCCACCACTAGAAGGAACTTTGTTGATGTGGGGGCCCCATGGAACTAGGCCGCACGCTGGCAGCCCGTGGAGGGTGCTCTGTGCTGGATTCCTAAACCGGCTTACCTGTGCATCAGTGAGGCCCAGCATTGCTGCCAGCTGCTTTCGATCCGGCTTGGTCACATACTTCTGGATCTCAAACCTTTTTTCCAGGCCTTTCCTCTGCAGGTTGGAGAAGACAGCGCGTGACCATGAGCGCTTCCTCTTGTAGGTCTGTGGCATGGTATCCTTGGTGAGCACGGCATAGGGGCCTGACCAAGTGGGCAAGCAGGAAAGGAGATATGAGGGCCTCATTAGTGCCCAGTCTGTGGATTACAAGCCTGCGGTTCACCAGGCTGAATGTGTGTGTGTGTATTAGTCTCAAAAAGCCTTCCACACACACCCAGAATGGCTTCAATACGAAGGAATTATACAGCTGTTAAGACCATAGTTGGAGGGCCCATTATACAGCTGTTAAGACCATAGTTGGAGGGCCCAAAGTGAGCATAGAGTGGAGAAACCTCCTGATAGCAAATTAATTCCAAGGGAAAAACATAATTCTAATGTGTGGCCATCAGACATGTGGAGATAATGTCCCTCAGGCCTGAATGATCTTGAGATGACATCCTCTGTTCTCGTATTGTGTGCGCACCTGCGTGTGTGATCCCGTGTGCCCACGCATTCAGACAACATTGTATCTCAGGGCAAAAGTGTTTGAGGTCATCTTAAAATATGTGTATAATAATAAGCAACATCTCTTGATCCTGCATTTTCAAACTTGCAGCTGAGGCACTCATCCCGCTAAAAGACCAAGGAAAGCCTCCCCAGCCCATTCCCTCACGCACATACTCAGTCTTGGCTTCTCCAGGAGCCCCCATTCCTTTTCCAGGGGACCCATTCCTAGCGTACATCAGCCCTCCAAGAAATCTTTCGGTTTCTCTATCCTGACCCTGTCTCCTCCGGCACCAACTCCGGGATTGCAACACTGAGCCCCGTGAGGCATCAGGTCTGTGATTTCTGTCTGTTAGTAGATCTAACTGATAGGCCATTGCTCTCTGGGGAGGGTTTCTGTACCTGGAAACGTATCCTGAAACTGATGCTGAACTGAATTTCTCGTGTTGGAGCTTAAGGGACTCAGGATGGCAGAAGCCTCGTTGATGGGATCTAGAGACGCGAAGAACTGGCCGGCGGAGGGCTGCAGGCCCGGGAGGTGCATCCCTGCAGGCCGCCCACCGGTTAGCAGGGATGTGAGATCTGGACAAGGAGGAAAAGGATCTCTGGTTACACTACGAGCAGATACACATTTTCTCGGCTGATTTGTTCCTACTCTGCCCCTCGCCCGCCTTTCGATTTCACTAGAGCAAAATCATGAGATCCTTGTCTAGGCGTCGAACTTCCTCTCTCCCGACAGTCGCCAAGGGGCGACGCACACAATGTTCCTGGGTTCAGGTCCACATCCACGCTTATAGAAAGGAAGGGATTTACAGAAAACAACCATAACAATGTCACTTTCAGGTGCCTTCTAAGAATTCCACTGTCCTATACCCGCCACCCCCAAAGAACTCCACTCTGCCCTCTCCTTGTCGGTGGTGATTAGAGCTTCGGTTTTAACCACAATCCTTAGGTAGAATTTTACTAGAAATCAGATGTACAAAATGTTCTCCCGGAAAGTTTTTCCTAACAAAAAATGTAGTTCTCTCTTTAGATAAGGCGGGAGAAAGATGAGGCAGCCTGCTTCCGTAAAGATTTACAGCCTTGAAAACCCTACGGGGCAATTCTACTCTGCCCCACAGGGTCGCTATGAGTCTGAATCAAGTTGACGGCAATGGGTTAGCTATGTAACTAAAAAGACAGGTGATAGTCATGTTAGCAAATATTTACACCAACCATTTTTATGAATACTTGTTATGTGATGAATGTTTTTAAAGCCTTCCTAGACATAATTTAAATTGTGTTCCTACAATTCTTCTCCTTTTCCCCATTTACTCATTGTTCTTTAATTATAAAAACACAGGCATTTCAAACCGAATGGGGTCTAGGAAATGAGTCAGAGCCGTGGTCAGAGAGGCCTGCAGCCTCCCATCCGAGACCTACCTCTTAACGTGTTGCCTTCCTTGACTTTTGGGTCAAATTCTGCAGATAAAATGCGGTCAATTCCAAATTTGAGGTCCTTGCTGGAGGGCGCCGGGGCCGAGCCGCTGGGGTGGGGGTTCGGGACCATGCGCACCCCCGAGGCCTGGGGCTGCAGGGCGCTGGCCCGGGCTGGAGGAGGAGGCTGTTGCTGCTGCGACTGTTGCTGCTGCGACTGTTGCTGCTGCGGGTGATGGGGGTGGTAAGCGGCTGAAAGCGGAGACAGACGCTGCGGGAAGCCAGCCGGGAGTTCCGAGGGCGCCACTACAGGGGTGGGTCGAAGCGGGGACCTGGTGGCAGCTTGGAAAGAGACGTGCGGGTGAACCAAGCCCAAGTGTGCGGTGAGAGCGGCGGCCGAGGCCCCTGCCAGGCCCTCTGGGGCCGCCCCTGGTTCCCCAACGCCGGCTTGCAGGATGTCTGCGATGCAGAAGGAGGGCTTCTTGACCGCAGTGGGGTCCAGGGGGAAGGAGCAGCCGCCCGGGCCGGCCGAGGAGCAATAAGTGGCCGACCAGAGGCTAAAGTTGGAAGCGTAGAAAGGGGCCAGCCCGGTGGCAAACATCCTCGCGGGGCGCGCCGCGCGGCCGCCGCTGCCTGCCCGGGCCGGGCGAGTGGGTGCTCGGGGAGGAGCGTGCAGAGCCGCGGAGGAGGGGGCGGCCCAACAGAGGACGATCCGCTTTCGCTTCTCCGCCGGGACTGAAGAGAGGCCGGGGAGCCCTAGCGCCGCCGAGATCGCAGGCGAGGGCCTGTCCCGGCTGATCACTGCCTCGGCCGCTGGCCTAACTTTTAAAGCAGCGCGGCGTTCACTCTCCCAGCCCGCGGGAGGCAAGTGAAGGGCGCTGGAGCCTCCGTGCTCACAGGCAGACAGGCGGACAGGCGGGCGGGGGCCGCGCTCTGCACACCGGGAGAAACCGGAGAGACAGGGCTGGGCCCCGAGAGAAAAACCCAAACAACTAAGTCCTGAGAGCTAAATTTAAAACAACAACAATAATAATCCGTTAGTTAGAAAAAAAAAAAAGGAATAATAATAATAATAAAGGGGGAAAAACAAAAACAAAAACAAAAAAAACTCCTCTCTAAAAACTCCCAAAGTTTTGGCAGAAGCTTTGGAGTCAGACTCAGGGTAGGACCTCGATCCGCGTGCTCATTGGCCAGTCCTGTGACCAATGGGAGCCAGGAATGGAAAGGATTTGGTAAAGAGGAGGCGTGGCCCTCCCTCTCGGTCACGCCCCAGCCACGCCAAAGTGTTTGTTTCGGTGGTGTGGGCTGAGCTCGGTCCTGCCAGTCTTTCTCTGCTGCGTGGGCTCCGGGCCCAGGCTCCAGGTCCCTTGGACTCAGCTTTACAGTCTGCAGCTTCGAGGTCACTGAGCACTCCTGAAGCACTTCCAGGAGAACAGAACTGCTACTCCGGCACTTTATCACGAGTGCAAAGCTCTCCTCCGAGCGGAGAGCTGAGCGTGCTGGCGGCCCCTTGGATTCTCTGTTCTTTACATCGCTTCCTCCCGATTCCCCTTTATCCTTCGATTATCCCAAGAGTTAGTGTCTTATGCAAAGCCCCCATCTATCCCGGGGACCCAGTCCCCACGCTGTCCAGTCCAAAGCTCTCAGGCCGGGTCGCTGCGACCCCAAGGCACCGCCAAACTCAACAAAGCGTCCGTCTCACTGCCTCCCGAAAGATCCTAGAGGAATCGAGGAAGAGGAGGAACAGCGGCAGGTTTAAAATTAGCTTTATTCCGAGGTGTGACACACAGTGACAACTTGCATGAGTGACTTTTCAAACAAAATAAGATGAATGGCCCTAACATCTCCCTTAGAGCAGCCAAACCTTTCCCCATAGCTTCAGAGAGAACAGAAGAGCGTTGCCATCCGATACCCGCGAAATCAGCACGCGGCGTCAGCTCCCTGCTGCACCTTGCAGGAAATGCCACCCTCCCTTCTCTTCCATGTCCTGGGTAACGTGAGGTTCGTTGTTTTTGCAAGTGCCCACAGAGCAGATTTCCTTGGGGTTAAAAAGTGCTTTCAATTCAGTGGTAGTTTCGTTGAGAACCTCTTGTACCTGTTTTTAGGAGTTTAAGCGGCGCACATTGCCTTCCATTCACGCTTTGGGTCCTTAGAGCTTAGGGTGTAGTGGGGGGTTTTCTGCAACATCAACATCTCTATTTTAAGAATTCGTTCTCTTTTAAATTATAGTCAGAATGGATTTCCCCACCCTGCTCCCAGAGAAACCACAGGCCACCCAGATGAGCTGTTCTTGCACATTTTCAGGAAGAAAATAAAATAATAATAACGAAACCACGAAATCTTTTGTTTTCGATTGTCCTAATAAGCATCTCCTCAGAGAGTTTCTGTGACTTCTTTTCCCCTTCAGCAACAGAACTTGCCATGCCTATCTCAAGTTCAAGACTTTGGCTAAGTAAATTAATTCCTAGTGGTTTCCAGCCTCTTGTTGAAGACACTGTTTTTTGTTTTTTTTTTTTGTTTTTTTTTTTTTAAAGCCTCCCTTCCCCTCCCAGCCCTGGTAACTTTCAAAGAATGTTTCTTTTTGTCTGTGCATAACTTTTTCTATCTACAGTAGTGGTCTCATACAATATTTGTCTTTTGTGATTGACTAATTTCACTCAGGTTTATCCATGTTATGAGGTGTTTCACAAATTCATCCTTATTCTTTAATGTTTCATAGCTGTTATTTTAAGCTTTTGACTTTCTCCTGGAAACAACCAATCATTAATCAATCACTTTCCATCAGCCTACACTCAGAACCAACTCCTTCTCTCCCTCCCTTCCTTCTGTCCCCCCACACAAGCCCTCTCCTCCTCCCCCTTCTCTTTTACAAAAGGGATTTCTTGTCCTGCTGTGCTCAGCTAAGAAAGAGAGCAGCAATTTCCCTTCAAGTGGAGGAGTCTGGCCTGCTAAGTCTCCTGGGGCTAAATAGTCAAGAAGACTAGCCCTTCAGTGTCTAGCCAGCGGCAAAGGTGTGACAAGTCACTTCTGAGGCAAAGAAATCACCCACCCGTGTAGACCTGCCTTCTTGAAAGGCTGGAATGGAGGCGGCAGGCGCAAAGACAGAGGGTTCTGGAGAGCCTTCTGAGGAAGGGCCACACAGGAAGCGGCCTACCTGTAACTCCACAGTCCCCAGGGTAAGTCATCAGCGCCAGTATGTGCAGGGGCAGCCAGGAGTCCCTTCCCCTCTGTTTTCTAGTATCACTTCCAATTTGGTTGTAGTTCCAATTTGACTACAAACACTCAGCCCAAGCCCCATCGATCTCACGGTTCTGGAAGAGACTTCCGGCTCTGAAAGAGAATCATCTAGGCCGCACCTCAGGCAGTTTCCTGCACCTTTGGCCATCCTTCCCCAAAGAAATAAGACTGCCCCACCTCCCCTCACCCGGTTCCAAAGTTTGGAAGCCAGAGAGGAAGGGGGCGAGGGAGGCGTACAACGGGGAATGCTGGCCCTCAGAATCCCCAGTGGGGACTGTGACCTGTTTTTACCGCTCTAGGGCCACCCTGGGGCACACTTTGAGGCCACCAGCGCAGAGCCGACCCGGGGAAACAGAGGCCTGGAGGGCGGTTTTCCATCCGAATTGTCACCCAGCCTCGCGACACTTTGCTAGGCCTCTGCAAAGCAGTTTGATTGATTGCAAGTGGTAACTTCGTCCACTCGCCAACACCCCCTCCCCCCCGCCCAGCCTCCTGCGCCCCTTTGTTCTCCAAGACCCTCGGCTTCCTTGCAACAGTGTCAGCACGATCCCGGCCCACTTGGGCTCCTTGAGGGAAACGTGAAAAAGGCAGCCTTTGGAGACACCACCACCACCACCACCACACACGCACACGACACACACACACCTGCCCTAGACCCAGGCCTTGCCTCTGCCACTCTCTCTCTATTCTGAGCACCTCCTGTCCCCCGCAGACTCCCCTCCTTCTCACCCCACCCCTCAGAACCAAGAAGGCAGCAGGAAACCCTGGGCTCGCCGGAGTTCAGGTCATCTCCTGTTTTTTGATGGGCTCAAACTCGGGCTAAATGAGCGGATGTGCCTGCGAGATTGGTCTCAAAATAGAAGCGGCCTTCGTATTTTAGGACACTGCAGAAATCCTTATTTCTTCCGGAGAAAAACTCTATAATGACTCCTAGCACTTCCCCTTTCAATATTTGTGCAACTTTATCTCCACCGACAAGTTGCTCGGGTGACGCAAATCCGCCCTTGTGTATTACAACTACCAAAATAAATGCACGGAAATCAATTCCCTTCTAGCAATGAAAATATAAATATACAGCTGCGACTTTCCCCTTTAATCTTTGCTTTCGGAGTGGCTCCGAGCTGTGGAGAAATGAATTGGCTGAGAGGTACTGGGATGGGCTCAGAGACCCGGTGGGCAGAAGCAAGGGCTCCCTGGCCTGGTAAAACATGAGGTTTGAGGCTCCAGCAGGAGAGAAGCCCTGACTAAACTAAATTAACTTGAGCTTGGGCTACATAGCCCAGATCCTAAATAAGGCTGGGTTGTCTTCTGAGGAAATGCAATAGAAAAGGTGATTACAGTTGGCAATAGAAATAGTTGTTTACGCTGAGAAGCTAAACAGCAATTGCTTTTTGGTTTTGTTTGTTTTGTGGAAGGTGTCTCATTGGCAGTGGCAAAAAATAGTTACACACTGGCTACTAACTGAAAGGTTGGCAGTTCAAATTTACTCAGAGGCTGCTCTGAAAGATCACAGCCATTGGAAACCCTGTAGGGCACAGTTCTATTTTGACATGCAGGGTGACCTTTAGTCAAAGTTGAATTGATGACAACTGGTTTTTGATTTTCTGATCAATTCTGATGACTGCCCTTTAGCTTTTGCTGGGTATGCACAGCCAAAGAGCATCTCACTGCACTGGGAATGGACAATTCTAGAGAAGGTGTTACAATCTGACAATAAGTTTATGGGGCTTTAGGATGGAAAGAAAGAGCCTGAATCAGGGGTTTATGTAGTGACCAAGGCTAAAGGTAGGCCACCCTCTGTTTCTCCCTATCTCCAGAGGCTCCATACTTAAATTCCCAATGCAAATGCTTGTCTTCTATCCCAGGGTAGTGATCCACATTGGTACAAGACATAAAAGCTCAAGGAGAATGCATGCTGGAGTTAACTTATTATAGAAACATGTCTGCAAGAGCATTATCTTGTCAAATCTGCTATCTGCTTTTGCTTTTTTCTTGTAGATTTTGGCAAAAATAAAGTGGAAGGCAATTGCTTTGTGGATTTGGAAACTCCCCCCTTATTTTTAAAATTGCTTTCAAACATGATACCTATTGCTTTCAAAGAAAGAGACTGAAGTTATTAAATATTCATAGTCAGAAAAAGGATACGCAGCTTACCTAGAGGTCTGAGGATCTGAGAGATTTGCAGCAATGTAGGTATCTATGCACATGCTGCCTGTCATTCTGCCTCTTCAGATTAATGTATCCCTGGACTCAGCACTCACATTTACGATGGGTGCAGGATTTTGTTCCTATAGGTGCTAGGCACTAGAGTTTAGTAGTTTAGTGCACTGGGGACCTACACACACACACACACACACACACACTCACATCCCTTGGATTATTCTACTGTAGATCTCAACTCTTTTTTTTCTATAGACATCAAAATTATTCCAAAACAAAATATGAGTTCGGACGTTGAAGAAAATTAGACTTTGATATGGAAGTGGGAAAGGAGAATAACATGATAGGATCAGAAGGGTTCACAGCCATTTGATTTATTCCTTTTCCTTTCCCCACACCCCAGGTGTGGCAGACCTGCAGGTGGCCAGCCCTCTATGTGGCTATGGCCCTGCCCTTGAACTCGCACCTGAAGGTTTGGCTACA